GTAGACTTTAATCAGAGCCTATAGATCAGATGGGCTTCCCTGGTGGTTCAGATGGTAAAGAATCTGCCCACCATGTGGGAGACCTGGGTTCGATCCCTGGGTCAGCAAGATCCCCTAAAGGAACAAATGACAACCCACTCCAGTATTCTTGCCTGGAGAATCCCATGGACAGAGGAGCCCGGTGGATTACAGTCCATGGGTTCACAAAGAGTCAGACACAACTGAGTGACTCACACCTTATAGATCAGGTGCATTTCCATTTGCATATGCTTCCTCTGCCCAATCAAAGCAGTCTGCAGTTTGCTTATGCAGAAGTTGTTTCCACTTCCTCCCATCTGATTGGGCAACAACTCCAGATGTCTTCAAAAATTACATAATGATTATAGCTCTGAACCCTTGACTGGCCTAGGAATAGGTATTTGACATTTATTTTGCCTCCATGATTGTCTTAAAAAAATCAATTCTATCAGAAGAATCGTTTTAAAGTTCTTGAGTCCTCCCTGACTGGTAATACATTCAGAAGAGATGATGCCAGGTTTTTGCACAGTGATTCCATGTAGGAGAGTGACTCCCAGAACCTTTGTGGTAAAAGAAACCTTTGATAATCACTTAGATAAATCTTTTCATTTTATCACTGAAGACAGCTGTGGCCCAGTTAAGCCAAATGGACTTCTCACATCCAAACAGCAAGATTCTACAATGCCAGAATAGAGGGCCTTAGTCTCCATCTTTGGAAGTCAGGACCCCTGACATCCTAAATTTAAGGTACTTACAGATCTCTTAGGGATCTTGTTAAAATGCAGATTCTATTCCATAATTCTAAACTGGGGCCTGAGACTCTATGTGTCTACTAACAAGATTCCAGCAGATGCTGATTCTGTTGGTCCTTGGACCCCACTGTGAATAATAATAAGGATTTACACTAAGAAAATGCATCCAAGTGAAGATAAACATTAGTGAAAGGATAGCTCTGGTTCAGACATAGCAGGTAATTCCAAAAAGGATTGGTATACCTTATGCAGGTCTACTGTTACTGCACCAAATATTCTGTATCATTTTATGATAGAGATAAACCACCATCTTATAATACTAGTTTCCTAGGAAACATCATTTTAGAATCTCGTACTAATTAGAAAATTGATTGGGTAGGATTTTTGATCCCCTTCATCTAGTTGTCCCATGCCTTCTTATTTCAAAAATGTCATCTAAGATGGATAAATGGCAATTTTCTAATAAATGTGTTTCTTATCTTAAGGGATTCATGATTCTTGAGCTCTTTGTGAATTTCATGGTTCTTAAATAAGTGCATTTCTTACTTCTGATAGTTCTCTCACACACAGACACTCACACACACGCCATAGTCACACATCTTATACTATGTTCTTTGTATGAAGCAAATGGATTATTATGTGATAAAATTAAGAATTTAAATTTTTATGAAGAATGCAAACAGGTAAGATGAAATGGTCATTATAGAATATATTCTTAGTTCTGGAATTACTTAATTATAATTTATGCCTATATGGTTTCTAGTCCTGGTTCAGAAAAAAATATAAAAATAAAATCTCATATACTTCACAAATTTTTACATCAAATAAGTTACATGGAAAACAAGGTTCCATGTATTTTTTTTAAATTACATGGAAAGACATTCTTAATTGAAGCAGATAGAATGACATATTCTTAAGAAATGACCCAACCTCACAGGTTATAGTTCTTATTTTTGTATTTCTCTAAGTAGTTCTTCCTCTACTCATTTCAGCAAAAGTATTATATACAAAAATAACTGGTTCATTTATACTTTTTTTGAAGAATTCAAAAAACTATGTAAATAACAAGATATTTGTTTTTAAGCTTATTGATATTATGATTAATGATCATAATTATACTTTATTTACACAAGTCCTCATAGGGCTGAAAATATGGAACTGCTAGTATTTATTCTTATGAGACATTCTTCATGAAATTGGTGAAGCAGATGTACCAAATCACTTGAAAATGTTTTTTGGCATTGAATTTGGCTTTAAGAGGAATGGAAAAAAAAAATCAACCTGATATTAGCAAAAATGAATAGTTTTATTCACATCTCTCTGATGCCAAAAAGGTGGTGTTTATTTTTATTTATTCTGGAGAAGAAATTGTGCATGATGTTTATGGTCTAGATGAACTGTTAATCATAATCATGGCTATCAGTGTGGGGCACCTGTAAGAAGTATATTTGTGTCCTGGAACTTTTTGATGACCCTCTTTCTTTGAGTATGATATTTGGGGTAAAATGAATCCATTCTGAAATGCTTTAGTTACTGGAATGACAGCAACAAAAAGAGCGGTTGTAAAGGACTTCCATCTCTAGGCACAGTCCCATCCCAAGACCGTGAGAACAATATTCTACCAAGATTCTGGAATTTTGATAGGCAAGTGTGAGTGAGTAAAATGTAAATTTTATACAGTTTTGAAACAGTTTACCTTAAATGCAAAATGACATTCATTAAGTACTTCAGTAGAAGAATAACTGTCTAAATTTTCTAACTGTATTTGTATTTGATTTGGGATAATTGCATGAAGTGAAATTTGTACTACTAAAAATCTGCCTCTTTATAGATTTTTTTACACCATTAAAAATAAGACCTACTTTGTATTATCTTTTAAAAAAAAAAAAGGAGGATGTCATTTTTCTTGTCAGTAATCATTAGAGTGTGAAAGTGCTTGACTTGTAATTTGATGATTTCAAAGATACCAATGACAGAGGAGCCTGGCAGGCTACAGTCCGTGGGGTCACAGAGGCAGGCATGACTTAACAACAACAACATGAAATGAAGTACAAAATTGTGTCTACAAAAGAAAAAACTCAGAATTACTTAAATGGTAAATGATGATGGATAGAACCAATATAAGCTCTTATCAATACCAGTGTTTCAACGTCAGTTGATCATTGACAAATTCAGAAATGCCCTAGAGATAATGACTTATCTGCCCATACCTTGCCAAGCCCCTTCAACCTTTCAGCCTCACACTAGTTAAATTTCAGTTAACTGATTTTACGAAGACTGAAGCAAGCAATACCCCACAGTTTTCATGGGACATGGTTTTCTAAATGTTTTGTCTTCTCCTTTCCTTTATGTTGTTCAGCCACCAGGTCATTTGTAGGACTCTCCATACTCCGTAGGAGGAAAATTGCCAGTCTGAAAGTTCAGTGTCTTTAGCGTTCGATTGCTTATTACATTTTTACCCTCTAGGTGCCAACCTGGATTCACTGGAGCGAGATGTACTGAGAATGTGCCCATGAAAGTCCAAACCCAAGAAAGTATGTTAAAATAATCTGAAATTTGCTCTCTCCCCCAAACTACAGCAACAATCGCTACTGCTTGGTGCCTTTACAGCTCAGCTGAGACTGATTCCTTTTGTTCTAATCATGGTTTAACCCACTCAGGGATTACTGGAATGACAGCAACAAAAAGAGCGGTTGTAAAGGACTTCCATCTCTAGGCACAGTCCCATCCCAAGACCGTGAGAACAATATTCTACCAAGATTCTGGAATTTTGATAGGCAAGTGTGAGTGAGTAAAATGTAAATTTTATACAGTTTTGAAACAGTTTACCTTAAATGCAAAATGACATTCATTAAGTACTTCAGTAGAAGAATAACTGTCTAAATTTTCTAACTGTATTTGTATTTGATTTGGGATAATTGCATGAAGTGAAATTTGTACTACTAAAAATCTGCCTCTTTATAGATTTTTTTACACCATTAAAAATAAGACCTACTTTGTATTATCTTTTAAAAAAAAAAAAGGAGGATGTCATTTTTCTTGTCAGTAATCATTAGAGTGTGAAAGTGCTTGACTTGTAATTTGATGATTTCAAAGATACCAATGACAGAGGAGCCTGGCAGGCTACAGCCCGTGGGGTCACAGAGGCAGGCATGACTTAACAACAACAACATGAAATGAAGTACAAAATTGTGTCTACAAAAGAAAAAACTCAGAATTACTTAAATGGTAAATGATGATGGATAGAACCAATATAAGCTCTTATCAATACCAGTGTTTCAACGTCAGTTGATCATTGACAAATTCAGAAATGCCCTAGAGATAATGACTTATCTGCCCATACCTTGCCAAGCCCCTTCAACCTTTCAGCCTCACACTAGTTAAATTTCAGTTAACTGATTTTACGAAGACTGAAGCAAGCAATACCCCACAGTTTTCATGGGACATGGTTTTCTAAATGTTTTGTCTTCTCCTTTCCTTTATGTTGTTCAGCCACCAGGTCATTTGTAGGACTCTCCATACTCCGTAGGAGGAAAATTGCCAGTCTGAAAGTTCAGTGTCTTTAGCGTTCGATTGCTTATTACATTTTTACCCTCTAGGTGCCAACCTGGATTCACTGGAGCGAGATGTACTGAGAATGTGCCCATGAAAGTCCAAACCCAAGAAAGTATGTTAAAATAATCTGAAATTTGCTCTCTCCCCCAAACTACAGCAACAATCGCTACTGCTTGGTGCCTTTACAGCTCAGCTGAGACTGATTCCTTTTGTTCTAATCATGGTTTAACCCACTCAGGGAAGAAACCCATTCAATCTTGTCTAGCTGTGTCTCAAACCACAAAGGTCATCGATTTCACAAAACCCATCATGATGGTCCATGATGCAATCATGGCGGGCAGGGGGGCCCACCAAAACGCCTTTCCTTCCGATGCTATCAAGCAGAAAACCTAGTTGAAGAAAACACCCAGCTTTCATTTTAAGTGGCTCCCTTTGAGAGAACACGGTCACTTAAAATGCTGGGATCTTTCTTTCGTGTGTATCCAAATTTGTATCCCTTTGGGGGAGACGCCAGAGTCTGAAAGCCATGACGAGGACAAAGACTCAGCTCCTGAGAGTGAACTCACCAAGTTCAGTCAAATGACACTGAAGGAGCTTCTTTCTAGCATATATTCACCTCTTCTCTTGTTTTCTCTGTTTTTTTTTCTACCATTGTTTTTTTGTTTCCTCTCTCAGGTGCCCAAATGAGTTTACTGGTGATCGCTGCCAAAACTACGTAATGGCCAGCTTCTACAGTACGTCCACTTCCTTTCTGTCTCTGCCTGACTAGGAGCATGTTCAGTGGTTCCTGCTTTCTTGTTGCCGCATCTCCCCTCAGATCCCACCTAGAGCTAGATGCGTTTTCCCAGGTCTAACATTGACTGCCTCTGCCTGTCGCATGTGAACATTAACACGAGCAATTGTATGACTTCCTCTGTTCGTGACTAGTGGGCTCTGAGCTACTCGTAGGTGTGTGAGGCGCCAGTGTTTCTGAAACTGATCTTGAATTGCTGTGATACAACATGGTAGTAGTCTCTCTCACCCAGCGCAATGACAATAAAGGCCTTGAAAAGTCTCACGTTTATTGAGAAAATAAAAATCATTCCACGGGACAGTCCATCTTCTTTATAAAAATGACCCCATCCCTTGAAAAGGAGGTGTGCTAAGTTGTAACCAGCACACACTTGAAATGATGGTAAGTTCGCTTCGGTTCAGACTGTGTTCTTTCCGACAAATAAACAGAATAAAAAGAGTTCAGGTGTTTCTCTTCATTAACCAAACAGTTTGCATTTAAAAAAAAGCTCTGAGTAGGAAAATTAAAAGCAGACTTTTCACAGCAAATGTGCTATTAGATTTTATTTACAAAAGCACTGTAATGGATTTGTCAGCCTCTGATTCGGCTTGTCAATTGCTTACCCCCCAAAATATTTCACATAGTGTATTGTGGTATAAATTCATGTAACACAAGAAACAGTGATAGAAATTGGTCATTTGGGGGCCCTAAAAGAATGAGATTTGACCCTTATTTGTATTCATACAAAGAATAATATTCTGTTTCTCATGTTAACAGTCATGGAAGAATAAATTCTATCAAAAAAGAAATTTCATATGCATTATGAGGAGATTGGACCCATACTATTCGATCATTTTTTTAGTGAGTGGTACTTCTGATGTATTTACAAAAGCTGCATATCAAAAATCACGTTACAGACCATTTTCTGTTGTGAAAAAGTGATAAACTGGCATTGCCAAATTTTCAAACACAGTCTCCTCTTTATTCAAAACCTTTAAATAAAATGCCTTTACTGGACATAATTGTTCTCTCTACAGCTATAGATTATTGTTATAAAGCTAGATAAGATGGAGCATAAAAACAGAAGGTAAATAATAGAATTTTACTTAATACAGCCTTTCCTTTTAGAAATGTTTGTATTCAAATGACAAATCCCTGTGACTGTATAAATTCAGTGCAATTATATTTTAGATTTTAATGAAAATTCTGAACATGTACATTGTACTTAAATTTTTGGAATATCATTGTGCACTGAATGCAATGTAAAAATGAGGGCATTTTCCAAAATAATGATGCCGTGAGATCTGACAGTAGAACCTGAAAAAATGTTCTCAATTTCTCTTTTAGACCATATTCTCTTTCATAAGATATAATTTTAAAATAGCCATTATGTATTTTAATAGGAATGTGATTCCTTGAATAAATTCTTTAGTAAGCTTTCAGTGGCACTTTTGGAAGATGTCCAGGAAAACAGCATTCAGATTTAACCTGATTTAACAAAGATAGATAGGAAACACATTTATAAACAAAGTCTGTAATGACTGTGCATCAGTCCTGCCTCATGTCTGGAAAAGCAAGAGCTTCCAGTCAGAAACTGCTTTCCAAAATTGTCTTGCCCAGAGTTAATTTTCTAACTTCCATGTCTTAAATTCTCAGTTTTTACTTCCACAAACCTTCACATCAAAGGCAGGGAAATAAATATTTGCTGCTCTAAGCACTTGATGTTCAACTAACAATGAAAGCCACACAAAAGCTAAAAAGTGTTGCCATCTTGGTAAAGTTTAAAATTTACTTATTTTTGTTCATAAAGTTTGAAATGCATATCATACATTTTAAAAGAAAAAATATTCCCCAGCTTCAGAGAGAAACATTGTTCAACTTACCAAACCACATTTTCAGTTGATGAATCACATTGTAAAAGAACATACACTTTTTTAAATGCTTCTAAACACATAACTTACATTATTAGGATTTAATACAATTTTTCTGGTCAGGGTGTCCTACGGGACATGTATTGATTTATAAAAACTGATTTAAAATATAATAGAAAGGAACACATGTATCTTTTATAGGGCTTTCTTGAAGGAAGCCATTTGCCTTGAAATAAAACATTTATAATACTTTCTTGGGAAATACTGTCAAGGTTAGTACGCTTTAGATTTCACCCCTCGCGACACACAGTTCCTGCTTGAAAGGATTGTTTTCATCATTGTGTGTGTGTTGTGTGTGTGTGGGTTTGTGTGTGTCTGTGATTGTGTATACGAACAATCAATAATCAATTTATAGACTATAGGAAAAAACACACAGCTTCAGTAGTTTCAAGCAGTATGGAGCAAATAGGTCATATATAAACTAACATCTAAGAGGAAGTAATTCTAGAATAGCCAAAATTATAGACTATTTTAAAAGAGTACAATTTTAGAACTTATGGGCATATCCTCAGAATGAGTTAACTCAGATAGCCTTAAAAGTATTTTTGATTCATAGGTTACTAGTGCCTAAATTATTTGTGTTGATTTTTCCAAATGTTTTTAAAATTCACTGAAGTTATTAGTTTATTTATCAAACGTGTATCTTGCTGAAAGTAGAATAAAGACACATCAAACTATAATGGAATTAACTCCAGCTAAGCATTAGTGAGATTTCACTGTGTGTGTTTTTATGAACATACTTGCTCATGGCATATGGAAACTTGGAAGAAAGGAGTTTCCTATTACATTTCAAAGGGTTCAGTGGCAATATGGATTGGTATATGTGAAAAAACAAAAGCATCTACTATTGTAAAGGTAAGTTGAAAATTAGAAGTCAGTGGCTACATTGGTCCTATTTAGCAATGACATTGAAAGGACTCCTCTAGAAACCTCAGGGGGGCAAAAGTCAAGAGGACACATACCTCTTTGAGATTACTTGCTTAAGAAAACCCAAGAATGTCTTCAGATGTTAACAGAAATTATAATTACATGTATGGACAATTTCAACTTTTCAAGAAGTTTTCTTGTTCTTTTCTCTAATGCAATTGAAAATTTAAATTAACCTACAGGTTAATCAGTTTTCTTCAAACAATTATAAAATCCAACAGCAAAAGATCAGTGAATCAATACTTAATAGTTTCTAAAGACTCAGATTTAAATTAATTTTTTATATTGCTTACTGCACAGCAGGAAATCACATGTAGAAAAGGAAGCTAAATTGTTTACAGTAACCTTCTTGTTTTTGAATTATTAATTTAATTTGAAAAATGGAGTGGCTAGGCAGATGTTCAATAGGAAACATATGATATGTAATAAGCCTAAGCCAACATTAGATTAAATAGAACAGATAGAAAGTAATAACCTCTTCAGAAAATGAAAAGTGTTTGTGTATTCTGCTTTTCTTGACTCACAATGAAAGAAATGTAGCCACCAATAGTCAAATAAATCACAGTAGTGTTTGCCACAGGACTTGGGTGACTGATGCATGCTTCCTCTGCTTGTTTCCTTGTTAGGGCTTATGGCCAGAAGAGAGTACAATTTTAAGTACCAATTTCCCTTTGAATTATTTGAAATTGGAGCTGCCTGATATGAATGACTTCCCATGAAAATGAAATTAGAGTTAGGCTCACCAACTTACCTATAAAACTGTAAATGCAGTAATATGTATGCATGAGCATGCTACTAATTTTATTGAAGACTTAACCAAGCTTTCTATGCAACTAATATAGATAATTAGCAGTGTTCATGTAGGCATGGAATCATGATTCTTTTCTCTGGAAAGAGTTTCTGTAGTCATCTGTTGATTTTAACCCTTAAATTATTACTGACGTAGGAGGAAAAGGCAAGACACGGAGGTGGTTCTAGGGAGAAAAATTGAGTTAGTTTCTCATAGAAACATGTAAGGAAATTTATTATCACTTCCTCAGAAAATGAATTGTGGTACCTTGATGTTCTGAAGTTTATGTGGAGGAAACAAATTGGGAGAAAATGTCAATTTGTCCAATTCAGTGTTGCACAGAGGCAAGAGAAATTCAGATTGGAAAAAACTGTTAATTTTGCTGTGAACACAGTGCAACGAAAGTCACTCTACATCCTCTTTCTTTAAATTTATGAAAAATGTAAGTGATTTGCCTGAGTACCCTGGACTTAAGGCAAAGAAAGTTCTATTACATAAAGTGCCTCTTTATCATTGTTAGTCAGTGTACTATTTGATATGTATTTATACATACATATTATTCATATATATATATATATATAAAATCTGGGAAACTTCATTTTCTTAAGAGGTGGCAGGTTTTGTTTGTTTTTTAGTCTAAATTCTTGATATATCACAGAGGCTGTCAGAGTTTTGGGGACCCTGAAATTAATCAAAACTAAGCCTGCATGCCTGCGATCAGTGGCCCAAAGTAAATCTCCAAATACATCTGTCCGCCAAGCTGTTAAAGCCCTCTGCTGCTGGCCGACACACTTCATGTCTCCTTTATTCCACAGGGTCACCCTGTGAGGCATGTGTCAATACCATAAGCATTTTGTCAATGAGAAATGAACTTGTCCAAAGTCACTGAACAGGTAAATGGCAGAGAAAGGACCTGAAACCAGGATGGCTCCAAACACGATCTCTGTATGAGGAGATCTGTTCATGTCCACACTGTTTTGGAAGAGAAATACCCCTCCAGCATGTGCTTTCAAACTGAAGGGATGCCGTGTCAGAGTCGGGGACTGTGCTGGTATCTCTCGAGTCAGTGACCAAGGAAAAGAAACACAGAGCACGGAACCCCTCTGTTTTCATCCTGCCCAGCCTTCCCACCTGCCTCTCCACCCCCCAGGCACAAATAAGGAAGCCCTGAAGGGCCCCAGATGGTGACATTTGGTTAAGAGTTCTTTATTTCAAGAATGGAAAGCATCATTTCCGGGTGGGATTTTTTTGTTTTTGTGGTTTTTGATTTGCCCAGTTTTCCCCGCTTCACCACTTGAGCCTGTGCAGGTCCTGCTGGACCTGCAATTCTGATGCGTCCTCAGTCAGCTGTGCTAGGACTGTGGTCTGGGGGCGCACAGCTTCCAGCCCCCTCCCCTGGGCAGCCCTGCAGGCCCCCTGGGTACCTGTGGCATCGGCTATCATCTGGGCATCCGGGCTCAGCGCTGGGAAGTGCCCATCTAATTGCCTCTTTGTGATCTGAGGAACTAGTAAATTCAAATTAACCAAAGAACCCAGGAATTGCATCCTCCTCCGGCCTCCTTTTTTTTTTTTTTAAACCATTTGAAAAAGTGAGGCATTCACTGCTATCCTATGCCACACAGAGATGATACAGAAAACTGGAAGCAGGTTCCCAGTTGCCCCAGTGCCCTGGCTGGCTTTTTTGAGCGAAAGTGTTCTCCATGTCATACAAATGATGGAGAGAGTGGAAGATTTTGGGGGGAAAGGAATAGTTTTAAAATGAGTAAATAAAACGACAGGAAATATTAGATCATAGCTCGCCCCAAACAATGAAAAATACCAATCTAATGTGACAAAAATTTCCAACCAAATCGCTCCTCTTGGCTTCACCTCCCTGCTCTGCCACTCTGTGCCTTTGGGTAACGTGATTTCACCTCCCTGGAACCTCACGCCTGCCTTTTGAAAGCAGAGGGTAAAATAATCCCAAATGTCATCTCTGATGACAAATCCGGTCTTTCGATTCCCAGATAACGAATAGCATAGAGGAGGAGTCAGTCATGCCTCTTCTCCCTCAGTGAGGTCTTTTAAGGGTTAATAAAGACACAGTGTGCTGCTATTTGCACACCTCTTAAAAGAGAAGTTCCCTCCGTGGACTCGTGGGGGCGTACCTGAGCACTGCTTCCTTAACCATCCACCGTTTGTCTGTTCGATGTGCACGCACAGAGCCGTAATAGTCGTGTGTAATGTGTTTTGGAGTGCAGTGTATTGCTCTTTTCTGAAACTTTTTCCCTTTCTTTCTTTTTTTTTTGTCAACTTTCTGCATTGGCAGAGCATCTTGGGATTGAATTTATGGGTATGGACCAATCATCATTCCTTTTAGCCTGCAGAATTTAGAGCCTCTGAGCTGAAACCTTTATATTTCCCCCCTGTCTCCTCTTACCTTTCAGTTCCTAACTAATTTCCTTTCTCTTTAGAAGGGATCATACAGCCATAACAATGATTTCTTTGCTTTCAATCTATGGTTAGTTTACCGACGAGGTACAGAGGGCAGCAGCTTTTAGACTCAAAACTTTCACTTAGAGTTGAAAATCACCTTACTTAATACAATTCACATACATCCCATGTTCCTTGACCCACTGATCGGATCTGACCATGCTGTTATTGCAGAATTGGGTAAGTTGGAGTGATTCATAAGGCTTTAGGAGGAACCAAGCCTGAGAACAAAAGAAGCTTCACATACACCAAGTTAGCCATTTTCAGCTCATGGGAGCTTTATATACAATATAAAAATCATCTATGCATATTGTCACATAGAAAGCTCTTACACTGCAACATGTTGCATGCATTCCCTGATAGCCCAGGTGGTAAAGAATCTGCCTGCAATGTGGGAGACCCTGGTTCAATTCCTGTGTTGGGAAGATCCCCTGGAGAAGGGAAAGGCTACCCACTTCAGTATCTGGCCTGGAGAATTCCGTGGACTGTATATGACTTAGCAACTTTCACTTTTCACTTTCAGACATGGATTACTCCAGTTTTCTGGAGATATATAACCACTGCACTAGTCAGCTTCATTATCTTATGAGCGAGAAAATTAAAAAAAACAGAACAAAATACCCTATGCTATTTTAGATGGAAATTCTAACACTAATAGAATTAAATTTGAGTCACCATATCCCACGTAATCAAATACAAATTTTCATACTGTTCCCCAGTGGCTCAGCAGTAAAGAATCTGCCTGCCAATGCAGGAAACTCAAGTTCAATCCCTGGGTTGGCAAGATCCCCTGGAGAAGGAAATGGCCACCCACTCCAGTATTCTTGCCTGGGAAATCCCATGGACAGAGGAGCCTGGTGGGCTACAGTCCGTGGGCTTGCAAAGAGTTGGATACGACTTAGTGACTAGACAACATCCTAGATAGTTGGGAGAAAAGCCAATCTTGGCAGGAAGGGGAAGCCGTTTTGTCCTCCTGGAGGCTCCGCAGTGTAGGTCCCCAGGCTTCCTGAATGCTACGGCCCTGGAAGTGCATATCAATCAATAAAGCAATGTCCTGAATAAAGGACTATCTGGCCCCCATCCAGCTAGTGTCAGTGACATCATGCAACAAGAGCATCTTAAAGCTGTTGCTTTCTTTTCAATGATAACATTACAGTCTACACCTACTGTACTTTCCATAATCTGTGGGAAATAAGGCTGTTGCAAGCTGTCAGTTTCCAGGGATAGAAACTCAATTACTTGCACATTCCCCTCCCCCCAGAAAAAAATTCCAAGAGAAAACTATTCATGCGATGGGGAAAGCCCCACATTCATGTACGTGGTCCTTTGCACATCAGAGAACATCTCTCGAGAGTAAGGAGCACAAGAAGTCCCACCAACATCCCACGAGTGGCAGGTGGTCTATACCAGGGGAGTTATCTAGTCAGGTTACTTCCCTCGGGATAAAATTTATCCCACTTCTCAAAAGGCATATTGGTCTTACCTGAAAGGAAGAAAAAACACTCCACCATCACCTCCCCTGTTCTCCCTAACAGCATCCTTCCAGCATTATCACTTTAGGGTCTAATTATTAAATTTAATATTTCTTTTCCCAAACAATGACATATGATGATGGCTTTTGCAGATACATGATCTCCCTCAGTAAGATCTGAAGGGTTTAATAAAGGCACCCTGAGCTGATATCCACATACCTCTTAACAGGATAAGCTTCCAGAGATTCCAGCCAGCCAGAACATTGTATCCTTAAGGAAAATCAGACCTTACAGGCCAATTAAAATTGGAATGGCCAAGGCTAGTGTCTCTTGGCCTGGCCAAATCAGTCTGAAAAATGTGCTTGATCTGATTCATTTAATGCATCCAGCCAAACCATAAAGACTTAAAAGTGTTTCAACTCATTAAGGCAGATCCACCAACAGGACTGATGGATTCTTTTTTTCAATGCTGTCTCTAATTTGCTCTTGTCCAATTGACCCTGTAACCCAGGGAAATAATAACAAAGAAAAAGGAGAGTTGGGTTTTTTTTAAGCATTTTTTATATTATTGTTCACCAAGTATTTCTCCTTGAACATATTTATTTTGTGAGAGTCACCTGATTTAGGGAACCATTGGAAAATCAGATAGAAACTTAAATGGAAACCATTTAATGCATTCAAGCCATCCTGATGTAAGTATAGAGTCGTAAGCCACATCTATGCTCTAGAGGGCTCATTTTAGCACTTTTGTTTTGCCCTTTGGCCTTGACGGGTCTGCCTTTCCAGTTCCATGATTGATTTTCCTGGGAAGTGTCGTCTGCTGACAAAACCAGGGGAGAACGAGCCAGTCATTATATGCCATTTCTTCACGAACCCTGGTCAGTCTATTCTTTTAGAGTTAACAACCACCGAGAAACTTGCAGAAGACGGCAACATGCCTTCCCCACTTTTAGCCCTTGGATAGGTCCTCTTTTTGCAGTTTGGGGAACCAGTTTCCCAGGTTTTTCTAAAGATAGAATTGGAAGATGGAAGCACTACCAGTGCTTGCCATTTGAAAAGAAGGAAAAATAGAGTAAGTGAAAGAAGTACAGTAGGATCTTCATTTTCTAAGCAGTGATACTTTTACACTCCTGTTTCTTAACCAATTCATCCCAAACAAAAGATCCCTGCTCTGCGTTCTGCTTTCCCCAGAGAAGGAGCATTTGATCCAGGTGCCCGTTCCAACAGTATCAGCTCACAGATTAACACCTTATGAAATTGAATTCCCTGTCCTGTGGCTCTAGGGGAAGGGAGGCAGCAGACACTCGCAATTAGCATACAAGCATCCACATGCCACGTCCTCACTTGACTCACGCGGCGCAGAACTACGTGGCAGGGCTCTATGTCTCCTGGTCCGTTGTCGCCCCCGCAATGCACCAGCTGCTTTGCTTTCTAATTGTGGCTGCCACGTGACTGCCAGCCTAGGTTAGGAGTTATGCTGTATGGGATAACCCTTCCAAATCTATATCCACCTTGCTTCCCACCCCAGCACTTCCCCCCTCTGGTTTTCTTGTATGTATTTATTTTTCCTCCCTTAGTATCAGGCATGCTGTGCCAGGAACCTCAGATGGCTCCTTCACTCTTTAACCTCGTTTTTCCCTCCTACCTGGCTTCCTCCCTCTCTCCGTCATTCTGTCAGTCTGTCTGTCTTCTCGGTTTGCTTTCTTTTCCTCTTCCAACCTTTTCTGTTTGTTTTCGTATAATCTCTGCAGCATTCTGGTCTTTTTTTTACCCGCTGACTATTTTCTCCTCCTCCTCCTCCTGTTAATAATCAGTGATCTTATTAATTTGATTTGACAATGTTCCTGACCTGTTAACTGGAATTTGATTACCATGGGCTTGGCTTGTAGGAAATGTTTTTGTTTAATGACAAAGTCTGCTGTATCATAGAAATGGCATTGCACCTTTTTACATTTCAAGAAGACTTCCGGCAACTTGCCCTCTCTCAATAGAGGGGGAAAAAAAATGTGGCTGCTGAGACAGAGAATGTAAATTGAAATTGTTCCATAAGGCCCCATGTTGATACCTAGATAAGAGACCTTCATTGGTAAACTGTTTCCCAGTTCTTGACCAGCTTGTTAATCAGAATAGCAAATGCAGCTTATGCTGCTTATTATGCATTGGTTAATTTCTCTTTCTCATTGAACTTGTGAATATTTCCCAGTGAGTGTAACTAGACTGGTTGGAAGCTTCGTTCCTAAGAGGATCAGGTTCACCATTAAATCAGCCAATCTTATTAAGAACCTGACTACCATCCTGTAAGCAATTTATCCCCCTCCAAAGCCGATTTGCAAATAGAAAACCTTCCATGAATCAGAAACTGGTTGCAGTGGGAATATAGTAGTACCTTCATCTGAAATAGCTAAACATCCCACCTCCCTAGTGCAACCGACATTAGCTCATTTCCCAACTTGTCCAACGCAGGAAGGTACAATCTATTCCAAATCTTATATCATTTGTGCCAGTGCTTTTGTAGTGTCATAAACTAGATCTCTAAGTACAACTGGTGACGTCATAATAATTGTTCCTCAAAGGACAAATCTTCCTCATGGCCCAGGACCATCCCACCCATCTTACTGGAGTTTCTCTGATACAGCGCCCAGCTACTCCATGTCCTGTTGCTTCTGTCCCCATTTTCCTATTAAATCATGGGAATCCTGCCTCGGTTTTGTTTCTAACTACAAGTCAAGCTCATGTTTGCAAGTATCTTTGAGTTTTCTTTCTTTGTTTTTTGTTTTAAGTTAAAAGTGATTCTTTGTAAAGACCACGGGAATAGGAACTAGCTGGGAAATCAAAAAAGGCTTGGGATGGCGACAGGAGGGGACAGGGGACAGGAGACTGGGAAGAAGGAGGGAGGGGAAGGTCCCAGTAGTGCCAATGCCAGCTCCTTTCATTGGCATCAATTCCTGTTGTCTTTGCAAGAGATTTTCTTTTTTTACAATAAAATCTACAGTTTTAACCAAAATCATTATTTTACCGTTAATGTTTATGGTTTGTCAGTTTAGTACGCATCTATGGCTTAACATTAGTCATTGAATAGATCCTAAATTTTTTATTATAAATGGCCCTCCAATGGGCTCTGCAGCTTTATGCTCAAAATGTGGCGCAGAGCGTGCTGCACCTTAAGTCTTATCTGCCGAAGGAATGAATTGTCCCGTGTGTATTTTCTTGTGAACATGGACAATGCAGCATGCCAACTCTTCAGTTGTAAGTCCGGGCGAGGATCAGGGACCCAGCTTGGCTGACGTGTTCTCATCCCTTTCCAGAAGCGGAGGAGCTCTACCAGAAGAGAGTGCTCACCATCACCGGCATTTGCATCGCGCTGCTCGTGGTCGGCATCATGTGTGTGGTGGCCTACTGCAAGACCAAGTGAGCATCTCCCCGGCCTCCTCTCCCCAGAGCGCACAGGCGGCCTGGGTGGCCAGGGCTCGCCAGAAACCGGGCTCCAGCGCCTCGCCTTGGAAGATTAGAGGGGCAGGGGCATTTCCTCCTTATTTTTGGTCCTGTATAACCCCTTTCGAGGACCTTCCTAACCACAGGCATTAGAAAGCTTTGCCGTTTGTGCGAAAGTGCTCAGAAGACTTTTGTTCCTTGACCACAGTCCCGTGACCCAAGAAAAGGGCTGGAGGGACAAGGTTGCATAGGGACCCACGCAGGTGTCTGTGGATGTGGGTCTCTCCTGAAAGGAGTGTGGTGGGTCCCACAGGTGAGCTTGTCATCTCAACTCCGAGGACACATCCAATCTGCACTCAGACGTAGGGGACAATGGAGGCGTTTGGTGGCATTTGAAAGGCAGGCATTTTTAAAAACCATGATGGAATTTTCAATTCCATCTAACTAGGTTACCAGTTCAAATTCTCCCACAGTGTGAGATACACAAAAGGACTCTCACAGGAGGAGAGCAAGCAAAACGTGCTTTGAAAGAATAAAAGAGAAAACATGAAAATAGATTTGTGTTCACTTTGTTGGTTGTTGAAGCTGGGTCCTTGTTAACAAATACGATTATCATATGATATGAATTCCTTTCACTTTTGTATCGTATGTAGGACTTCTGCTCAAGTTTTAAATAATGCTATTCACAGTTTTATTTTATTTTGTCGTTTCATCACATAAACTCTCATGCCAAAACTAGTCATGAGAATATTATTATGATCTGAATGGAGGAACACAGACAATCTGCATTTATGCCATAGAAACAAGGACATGGATGGCATTTCCTTAATGTCCTGGGATGTAGAATGTTGCCAGAATTGAGCAAGCAATAGAGAAAAATAAACCTTCACAGAATCCATCTTACGAGTCTTACTAGATTCAGTCTCAATATTTGAATATTCATTACCTAGTTATACAAAAATGTACTAGAATAGGATCATGTTATAATTGTGTCAAAATCTTCTGGCAAAAGATGTACACATTTTCACTCACATACACACACTATGATGCACAGATTCAAAAGTAACTCCATTTTCTTGAAAGACACACAGACAGGCAAAACTATAAATGAAATCAGCCTTATCAATTGCACAGCATGAATTGTAACCTAAGACACATGACCATCTGTAAGACTTAGGCAAAGACGCAGTGATTCTGAAAGTCTGAGTTTTAGCCAAATCTCAACTTGGCTTATCTCGTCTTCTCCTCTGTTTTTTTCCTTATCTCTCAGCAGTCCAGTTCAATTTCTGTAAGAATCCCTCCTGGCTTCTTCAATCTATTTGCTAAGAACAGATGATTCCACTTCTGAGATGGGGTGGCGTGCCCTCTCGCTCTCTTTCTCCCCACCAATCCACTGCCTTGAGTGTTGTGTTGGTAGAAGAAAGAACTGACTGTATTGAAAAATGTAAATAATTAGAAAAAATAAATCAGTGCCCCATTTTTTCCTCTCCAGGAAACAACGGAAAAAGCTTCATGACCGGCTTCGGCAGAGCCTTCGGTCTGAAAGGAACAACATGGTGAACATAGCCAACGGGCCCCACCACCCCAACCCACCCCCCGAGAACGTGCAGCTGGTGAATGTATGTTGACTCTGCCCAGTGGAAAAGTTCAGCATCTCTCCTCTGTTCAGGCACCTTGAAGTTTATTTTCTAAAGCTCTTAGGCTCTTAGCTGCTGCCATTAATCACCAGGGCTTCCAGGAATCCAAGGTTTCGCCAAGAGAAAATGATGGGAACATTTTTTAAAGTGGATTTGGTGACTGTAAAACCAGCACATTTCCTCTTATAAAGTGTTCATTAACGGGTCGGAATAATAATGTTGGGTTTGTTCTGTAAGGAAGCCATAACTGGAAGAAAGAGCAGAGGAAAAACACAAAGAAAAATAATAAAACTCATGATACAAGAATCAGAAGGAAATTTTTTTTTATATACTTGGGAAATGAAGGCTGCTTGAGTCTATAACTGATTAGCACTGATACCTGAGCTAAAGGCTCTAGAGTCCTTTTTTTTTTTTTTTAATTAGAGGCATTTTCAGGCCTGATGATTTACTGATTCTGAGAAGGGAGATATTAGGCCATGGAAAATGTTAAGGGCATTACCAGACTTGCTTCTCAGTAGCCACGACAGAAGAATTTAATACTTTCTGATTCCTTGACTCTTTCTACAAGATGCCAAACCCTTCAGAGGAAATATATGCTTCACCATTCAAAGATGTATTTTTTAAATTTACCAATCATTTAACTTTTAAATATAATGAATTCATTAAATATTAGATTGGAGAGTCTTTAGATTGCATCTTCCAAAGCTCCCCCTATTTTTTTACAGATGTAGTAAGTCCTTTACATACGAACAAGTTCCACGTGAACAAGTTCTTATTCGTAAGTCCAACAAAGTTAGCCTACATACCCAACTAACACAACCGGCTATATAGTACTATAATAGGTTTATAGTACTTTCACATCTTTGAAAGTTTGCAACTTGAAGGTTCTCATGTAGGGGACTTACCGTGAGCCAGGGCAGAGCGGAACTCAGCTTTCTTGGATTCTAGAGAATTACTCTTCCTACTTCACCATCTTTCTTGTTTGGTTTTGTTTCCATTTCTCTTTGATGATTGGCTTTTTATAAGCAGAGCTGGAAGATTATATGACAGTACCATTTTCAGTCTTATAGTCAGAGAGGAATTTTGTGTGGGGCAAATATATCAAAGACCCAAGTTCAGGGTTACTAGTTGTTCAACCACCAGGAAGTCAGAAGACTGTTAGGTGTTGATAAATTAACATCCTTCACTACCAGTGACGGAGTTAAGGATGAAGTGGTTAAGGAAAGGATGAAGTAACATACTTTCCTCCCCCTAGCCGTGTGTTCATTAGAATGTTCTGCACAGTTGCTAAGTACTTTCTCTACTGACATACCTATAGTCTGTCACGTTGTATGTAATAATACACGGGAGGCAGAATGACTGCCTGACTTCTGCTTACAGCTCAAGCTGCCTGACTGTGAGCTTTAACTTTTCTAACCCCCATTTCTTCATCATAAAAATAATACCTACTTCAAAAAGTTCCAGCGGGCATTAAAAAAATAATCCACATAATCCATTAGCCCAGTGGCATTTGGTAAGTGTTGTTAAATTGTTAAATATTATTTTCATTAGATTCACTGAGCTTACATTGCCTTCCAGGGAACAAGAGTCATTTGTTACACAGACTAAAAATAGCTCATTACATATGACAACACCTTCTTTTCCTTAAAGCAAAGATCCACATGGAATAAACCTTTATATGGTTAAGATAACCAGATAGAGTTTCAAGTATAATTCAAGTTGTTATTTTTTTGTTTCCATGAATATATGTTTCTTTTAGAACCCATAACCTATCAGATCATCAAATGTCCTATTTCACCTAAGACTATTTCTATGCATGTCCTTTCCCATTACTTAAATCAATTTGGTGTAAATACTAACAGTGCTTAAAAGACAATTTTAAAATGTCCCTCTCTTACTAATAAAGGTGGTAATAGCTACTGTGATTTAGTGGTGAAAAATAAAGTAGAATCTACTTGTACTAAATATAAGACCCTCTATCAATTGTATGGTTTGTCAAGGCTTATAACCTTTACCACTGTTATAAATCCTTCAAATCTTTCAGTAGCCTTGTTAGTCTTACCACTGACAACGAGGTAAAAATTTTAATGATACATTAGAGCAACATGGATGCTGGGAAATCAAAAGAGAACTATATTCAGCATATAGAGATTATTTTTAAAATTCTTCTAATGACTTAAAATTTGAAATAAGATAAACTATTTCTGTGCTTGCAATAGCTTACAGAAGTAAGTACTGGGAAGGTGTTTGTATTGAATTCTAGTCATGTTATCAGTTGGAAACAAAAGAGAAGAAACAGGTCTTCTCTGATAAAATGTCATTGTCATGGTAGGACCTACATTGTGTGTGTATATCCAAAGAGAGAGTCATAAATTCTATTTATCTGATTTAAAGGTCATACTAACCAGGATAGGCTTTGCCATATGGCCACTGGAGAAATAGAGTTTATTATGAAGCATGTGTATTAGAAGAGTAGATTTGTGTGTGTATGTGACGTTGTTAGAATTTTGACTTCCCTAAATCTTCAAGTTGTGTCTCTTTGTTTATCCAGCAATACGTATCTAAAAATGTCATCTCTAGCGAGCATATTGTTGAGAGAGAAGCAGAGACGTCTTTTTCCACCAGTCACTACACTTCAACAGCTCATCATTCCACTACTGTCACTCAGACTCCCAGTCACAGGTATGAGAATAAAAAGCTGCATGACATTTCTCCAAGAACAAATATTTACATGTTCCCTTTTGTTTTTCACTGCCTATGAAAGGAACAGGAGGTACTTATAAGGCAGTGCGGTACTGTAGTGTGTATGATTTGGAACAAAAACAGGCTTTGGACATCCAATTGACTCTGCCACTAGTTGCTATTTGAATTTGACCCTCAACTCCTCTGTCACCAAAACAAGGGGAAATAATAGCCACCTTACAGTATTTTTATTCACCATTTTAGAGATTGTCTTTTTTCATGCCTGACCATTTGCGGAATTGCTATTATTGTTATTCAGCCACTAAGTCATGTCCAACTCTTTGTGACCCCATGGACTGTAGCCCACCAGGCTCCTCTGTCCCCCACTGTCTCCCAGAGTTTGCTCAAATTCATGTCCATTGAGTCAGTGCTGCTATCTTACTATCTCATCCTATTCCGCCCCCTTCTCCTTTTGCCTTCAGTCTTCCATAGCATCAGGGTCTTTTCCAATGAATTGCTACACTAGAAAGAGTTTGTCTTAGATACTGTATAATACTTAGAAGTTGACTTCTTCCAGTGGTTGGATTGCCCTGGGATATCACATGAGAACTGGTTACCTAGCTGAACCTCAAATTCTCAAATGCTCTGGTGATATCTGAGTGCGTACTGCCAAGGGCAGCACTAGTCTTCCAAATGGAGCACGTAAGACCAGGGTATCCTTAATCTAAGACGCTCAAGAACAGAGAGCTACTAAAAATATTTAGCACAAAATAACATTTGTTTAATGTGTGTTGAATGGATGAATGCATAAATAAAGTGCATCCTTGCAAAGCTAACCGAAGTCACAATCCTATGCATCACAAGCATCTCAATAGACAGTCCTATTCTGAGACAAGTAATGCCAGCATGAAACATCAGTCATTTGCAAGATTTGTCACTCCCCTTCCTTTCATTTCCGTGTGTGCATAGAATTAAAAATGCCCCTCTCTCTCTCTGCCTCTCACACTTCCCCTGTAGCTGGAGCAATGGACATACTGAGAGCGTCATTTCGGAAAGCCACTCTGTCATCGTGATGTCATCCGTAGAAAACAGTAGGCACAGCAGCCCCACTGGGGGCCCGAGAGGACGTCTCAATGGCTTGGGAGGCCCTCGTGAATGTAACAGCTTCCTCAGGCATGCCAGAGAAACCCCTGACTCCTACCGAGACTCTCCTCATAGTGAAAGGTAAAACCGGAGGGCACAGCCACCGCAGAGGAGAAAGCACCCCAGTAAGAGAACCCCTGTGAGCACCTGCTCTCCCACCTGAGGAACCTGCTCTCATGAGAATAAGGGGCGCCAGCTGCCTGGTCTAGGAGTGGTCCTAGTTGATGAAGGCATCTTTTGGTTTGACTGACCTCATTTCTTCTGAGCTTCTCGCATCAGCCCAGTGGCTGACAGGCAACAGACTCTTAAAAGAGCTGGAATGATTTGACGTGGAAGGGGCAGCAGTCTTGGAGTTCCCAGCTTTGACCTTAGGCTCAGATCCTCTGGGGGAGTCTCAGTTCCCTCAACTGGAACTTGAGTACACTGGCCTCAGTGATCGATCAGGACCCTTCTAGAATCCTAAGTGGCCAGTTATCCAAACTCTGGTCAAGCTGGCCTCCTGTTCTCATGAGCTAACCCTTTCTTACCTTCCAGCCTCAGTTAAATCAGATCAAGGGCTGTGTCCTTGCTGACTGTCATGGGATGGCTTGCGTTCCACCAGACAGTATCCCTTTATGAAATTCCAGCAAGGAATGCATCCATCAATCTCCTGTCCACTGCGGCTTGCAGTCTTCACAGGAGGTTCTCAAAGCAGATATTGCCTTTGATGTGGTTCTTATTCCAGAATGTGTTGGCTTGCTTCTGGGGCTATTGGGTTGGGTGGGGGGAGTCAAGACAAACGTTAAAATAAAGATCAGAAGAAAGTAGCCTGAAAGAGATGCTCAATAGCATTACTGAATCCATAGATTCTCCTGATCCATTCTCACCTAAACTGGGGGAGAAAGTTATACCCAACCAGCACTCCGAGTCCATCAAGAAGCTGTTACTCATTTGTTTTCAAATCCAGCAGGGTTTTGTCTGTTTGTTGGTTTACTTTATTGTCTTCTCAGTCCAACCTCTGACCACTTGCTAAAAGGTTTACATAATGCCAAAGTCATACTTACTTGGTTTTCATGGATGGAGATGATTTGGGTACACTCCTTCACTCAGGCACTGGAAAGTACTTACAGCAAAGGATGACCAGTTTGGAGCCTGCAGGTCATTTAGAGCCTGCTTATTGCTTTTTCAAGGTCCTTTACCCCAAAATGGCTTTTCAGAATTTTATGGAATTAGGTTGCTCTAATTCATCTATGAAAAAGTAAGCATGGTCCAAAACTGGTTTAAAACATCAGCCTTAAATTCATGTAAGTATATCTTTATGTGTTAAGTCTGTTCCAATTCAATCCTTTTAGAAACCCGAGAAAGAAGATAGGGATAAATTCTTTCTCCGTCACTACAGGTGATGTTTATCTTTAAAGGCTGACATTTGCCTGCTGGGATAGGCTCCCATTCATACCCCAGGTATTGTTTAGGAAATCAGAATGTACCTGGCATCCTGGAGAAAAATGATGAAGCCGTGCTATGGGTTGGTTGACTCTGGATTAGCATTTCTCAGAGAGCTTAATTTAAGTATCCCCAAAATAATAAGTCTGGAGACTCAAGCCCCAGATTTTTCCATCTGGAGACACTTTCCCATTTTAGACACAGTCAGATCTCACATCTGTATGACTCAGAATCATGGATGGCAAGCATGAGGGTTATAGGTTTCTTGTTCCTGTTAGCTGGAGATGAGAAGACGGTGTCCTGTGTCATCACAGGTCATGTCAAATTAGACTCTGCAAATGCCAACGTGAAGGAGAGAGTCCTTTAGTGCTACACATTGGTGACATTTTTATCTAAGCTGAGAAATGTGACTCTGAACAAGCCACGTCTTTCTCAGTGCCACATAAGGTCTTCTTGTTCTGGGGGAAGAAAGCACGGTATGGTAAAAACAGTGCACTCAATGTCTTGACAACGAGATTTCCTGAGCGTTATCAAACATTGCATGACATAAGGTGACACGGTACAGCCCACCTTTGAGCAGTCAGAAAAGATAAGCCAGAGCTGGATACAGCTGTGGGTTTTGGAAGAGAGATAGACCAGGGATTTTACATAACGATGAAGCCAAGTGTCAGCTTTCTTTGAATGTCATGGTCAGTGGGATATAGAGTTGCAAATGGAATGTTAAGTCGCATTTCATGGAAAAGTTAAAAGCGCACAAATGTGTTACGCTGTTTTCAGGAATAAATCTAAGTTACTATGCTCTTTTTTTTTCATAAGACATAACCTTATAGCTGAGCTAAGGAGAAACAAGGCCCACAGATCCAAATGCATGCAGATCCAGCTTTCCGCAACTCATCTTAGAGCTTCTTCCATTCCCCATTTGGGCTTCATTCTCTAAGACCCCTTGGCCTTTAGGAAGGTATAGTATTTAAGTAATACTTCTTCCCCTTCCAAATCCCCGAGCCTTGGTCCTTACAAACTGAGAGGTTTCCAGGACTCTGTGCCCTCTTGTCTTAACTCACATGCTTTTATTGAAAATCATGATTTAAAAAAAAAAGAAAATCACAATGAGATGGAAAAAAAAATCTCAAACGCTTTGCTAAGCCAGGCAATTTAGCTGATCTTTGCATGCACTCCTGTGAGGAGACTCTTGACCACCTAATTGGAGATTCCAAATGTCCTAGTGTAAAACCCGAGACGTCTACAATGAAGAGAATTTCTCTGTTGTCTGATGATGATATCTGATGATACGATAATGACCTCTGCCCCCTGACCCCCCCACCCCTCACTCTCTGCCTCTCTCATTGCACCACACTTACGCTGGGGTCTTCTGTGCCCACACAGGTATGTATCAGCAATGACCACCCCGGCTCGTATGTCACCTGTAGATTTCCACACGCCAAGCTCCCCCAAGTCGCCCCCTTCGGAAATGTCCCCGCCCGTGTCCAGCACGACGGTCTCCATGCCCTCCATGGCGGTCAGTCCCTTCGTGGAAGAGGAGAGACCCCTGCTTCTTGTGACACCACCACGACTGCGGGAGAAGTATGACCACCACGCCCAGCAATTCAACTCATTCCACTGCAACCCTGCGCATGAGAGCAACAGCCTGCCCCCTAGCCCTTTGAGGATAGTGGAGGATGAGGAATATGAAACGACCCAGGAGTACGAACCAGCTCAAGAGCCGGTTAAGAAACTCACCAACAGCAGCCGGCGGGCCAAAAGAACCAAGCCCAATGGTCACATTGCCCACAGGTTGGAAATGGACAACACAGGCGCTGACAGCAGTAACTCAGAGAGCGAAACAGAGGATGAACGAGTAGGAGAAGATACGCCTTTCCTGGCCATACAGAACCCCCTGGCAGCCAGTCTCGAGGCAGCCCCTGCCTTCCGCCTGGTTGACAGCAGGACTAACCCAACAGGTCGCTTCTCTCCGCAGGAAGAATTGCAGGCCAGGCTCTCCGGTGTAATCGCTAACCAAGACCCTATCGCTGTCTAAAACCGAAACACACCCATAGATTCACCTGTAAAACTTTATTTTATATAATAAAGTATTCCACCTTAAATTAAACAATTTATTTTATTTTAGCAGTTCTGCAAATAGAAAACAGGAAAAAAAACTTTTATAAATTAAATATATGTATGTACAAATGTGTTATGTGCCATATGTAGCAATTTTTTTACAGTATTTCCAAACGAGAAAGATATCAATGGTGCCTTTATGTTATGTTATGTCCAGAGCAAGTTTTGTACCATTCCGTGACTGCTTTTTCACAGTATTTCAGCAACCCTCCACCCCATATATTCTGTTTTTCGCTGGCTTCCCGTGCATTGCATTATGATGTTGACTGGATGTATGATTTACAAGATTTGCACCTGTCGCTCCATTTGCTTCAAGTAGTACTCAATCGGATGTCTTGTAATGGCACATCCATCCAATACTCCCCCTCTGTATGAGATTTTTCTTTTGCTTTCCGTATGTGAAATGAGTTGTGTCTACTCTGCCAGCCAAAGGTTTGCTTCACTGAGCTCTGAGATAATAGAAGATCCAGCAGCATGCTACTATTAATTACAGCAGGAAACTGCATTAAGTCATGTTACCTATTAGGAAGAAAGTAATATTGTGATTTTTTCAAAAACTATATTATTCATCAGAAGACAGCTCGCTCTGACTTAAAAGGAGCTACCATTTACTTTATGTGGATTGAGTTTTTTGCAACAAAAGAAAAAAAACAAGTTTTGGGGATAGCACAGAAAGTGGATGCTGGCTAGCAATCAGGGTGAGGTCCAACCCTAAGCTGAGGACTCAGTTTCACTTTCTCTCTCTTGGGGATTGTTACTGCAGCTCATCTAATTGAAGAGCAAACCATGGCTGAAAAAGGTGCAATCATTCTTGACTTGTGTTTTTTCACTGATTTGGGAGCAAGTGATTGGTTGTGTCTTCTCAGCTCAAGGACAGACGTGTTATGGCACAAAAACCCCCAGTTTCAACAGCACACTCAGCAATTTGTCTGGAATACTTCTGGAATGACGTGTGCCTGTTGTATATGGCGGTGACGTCATTATAGAGAACTAGTTCCGCCGTAGATTGTCTAGAGGAGTGAACGTGTAGAAGACACAGGGAAGAGTGGCCATGTGACCCAGTTGGTGATTTTTTAAGTTTTTTTGCCTGTTCCTTTGTCCTCATTATTCTTTTCTTATTTTACAATCTCGCCTTGATTAGATCGTACTATGCATGAACATTTTTGTCAGAAATGGCCAGTGTGCCTGTAATTTGTGATTAGGAAGAACCTCCCATGAGCAAGGATGCATCAAGAAACTGCAGTAGTCTCAGAAAGATTGCACCTTTCCTTGCAGAAATGACCTCCACCTGTGTGCTAACCTCTCCGTTTGCAGCTGTATCATCCGTTTTCCCCCTTTTTTAGTTTTTGCTTTACTGTCAACAAAAACAGGATTAAGATAGGTCCACCCTTGGCACGTTCTCTTGTGGTAACCAATCCAAGAAAGGTCTGTAGGTAGAAATACTTCAAATAACTGCTAATCCAGGAAAAGAAGAGAATTTGGTAAAATATTGTAGTACCAAGTCTGTTGAGTAGAGCTGGAGGTTTATTTAGGTTCCAAGTGGCCTCCCAGGAGCCATGAGACAAAATGGGGAAACAGGTTAGCAGGGGGTTCAAAATACCACCATGAATTTAAGGAGAGTGATTCTGTTGTTTGCAAGTAAATGGAGTCTAGTTCTTCACCACATCGCTATGTTAAAATCAAAAGGAAGACATGCAAAGAGGTCTTGGAAGAAAAGTGCAGGCTGAGCATGAATCATGCCATTAAGCTCCTAAGTGTTTCTACAATTCACAGAGACCGTCAATGGGTCCTTAGCATTTGGTATCCCAAGCGTCCTTCATGTTCCCATGCCACTTTCTCTGTGCTCAGAAGTGTCCTCACGTGCTTATTCACCTTTCCTAAGGAGCCCTTGACAACTCCCCAAGTTACACTGATTTCCCAGTTATGTAAAATCAGTAAGCTCACAGCAGGGGAAAGAAAAGAGTCCACCCCAAGAAGTTCTCCAAATTATTCTCAATTGCCTTTGAAGACCTAGACTCCTTCTTAGACTATTTCAATAAAAAAAAATTCCTATCGTAATTAAAACTCTAGAATTTCAGTTTCAAATTCTTCAAGCATGGGAGTCTTATTCTGGAGAATGTCAGGAATAAATAAAATCTTTGATTGAGAGCAAGAAACAACATGCTTCTCAGTATGAAAAATCTCTGTCAATTTTCAGGTTGCAAAAATAGATGACAATTGAGGACAAGAGGAAATTTTCTTTCCAACTTGGTTCTGGTCACTCATCAAGGTGACATATATCAGTTAGGACAGGCTTTCTGTCCATAGAATGATAGATTTCCTTCATAGGAAAGGCCAGCAGACGACTCAGGGCTCCCTGCTGTGGCCACCAGATTTGTGTCCACAGGGGCTTCTCTGGGATGTTCAAATGCCACCATCCCTCTCTGTAAACTCAGGAGTGCAGTGGCAACGCAAAGAAAGCATGTGAACCAACAGTCCCAGCATAAGGGAAGCCTCTCTGGGTCTTCAGGTGGTGGAAATTGCTGAGACGTTTGACAGTGACTTTGTTTCCTGGGTCTGAGATCATGTCCCATTGAGGAAGATGCAGGGGAGCGTAGAATATGAAAAATGCCTTTTTCTAACTCTGGGTTCCTTTTACATCCTGCTCTCCCTCCTTGCCACATAGGACTTTTATTTCTGAGAGTGTCTGGACAGTCTCCTGCTTTCTACAAAATGGCACTCTGCCTGGGTATTTGTGAATGTGTCCCAAAGACCAATACGCCATATCTTCCTTGTTTAAGTGTGACTGTCATGATAGAGTTTATCCAGGGTCATTTGCTCTGTAACTTTTTTTTTTTTTTGGCCTGGGTTGAAAGGTATATGGCTCACATTGGTAAAAATACAGAATACCTAGTTTTTTTTAGTCCTGGCTGCATCCCACCAGCCACAAAGATGTCTGTCCACAAAGGCCCATGAAACACTGCAGAGAAATGCAGACAAAAGGAAATGGCCACATATCACAAGTTCTATTATATATTCTTTTGTAAATACACATTGTACATTACTTGGATGTGTTCCTAAATCATTTACTGTCTTTATGAGTTCATGTCAGTTTCTTTTTTTTTTAACTCTCTTAACTTACTGTGTAACATTGTAAATAACATAATGTCCTTTATTATTTATATTTAAACATCTAACATAGAGTTGTTTTCATATAAGTTTAAGATAAATGTCAAAAATATATGTTTTTTGGTTTTTCTTTGCTTTAAAGTTATGTATCTTTTCCTTTTGCTTTTTTTTTTAAGAATAATTTATTGTTCAGGAGAAAGAATGTATATGTAACTGAAACTATTTGAAGAATGCACATTTGAAGGCCGTGAGGTACTGATAAACTAAAGAATTTATTATCCAAAATACTAAGCAATAAGTAATTGTGATTTATTTAAAGTTTTGTCCATTTTCCATGAAAGACATACTGCAATAAAAATGCTACTCTGTGGAGATCTGGGAGTGTGGGTCAACAGACGAAGGGTCCAGTCTGTTAGACCAGCACCTTGCCTTTTACTGTGATGGTTGTGCTAATTTAGGGCCCTGTTTGATGGATCCCATGTTCATCTTGTCTGTCCGTTGCTTTTGCCACCCTGCCTGTTCTCAAATCATCTCCCGCCTGTCGGTTCTGCATACCACTGTGTTCCTTGTTGAAGGAATCGCAACCAAGCAATATGACATTTTTACATAAGAGCATAGACAAGACGTTGTAGGGCCTGATTGCCCGGATCCAGATTGTTACCACGTTCTGTAGAGACAGCGTGTAATTTCTTCCAACTCATGAAAATGTCAGTATGGAAACCCATTCAGTCGTGAGATGGAAACATGTTCCCGTGGTCCGAAGGATCCGGTGGCCACCACGGCTCAAAGGCAGCCAGTCAGAACTGGGCCCTGCTAAGCTCTCCTAGAGCTTAAGTAAATGTGCTTTCTCCATCTAGTCTATGATTGAGCAATTCATGATTCTAAGAGAAAATAAGGCTAAATTGGGTTCTTTCCTCCTCATTCTATCAGTAAATCAAACTCAGTGTCCATCTTACTGCTCAGGGGAGAACCTAGGCATGAGAAATGTCCTGCATTCTAAGACTCAGTCATAGGAGTGAGGATATTCCTTCTCTTCTTGAAATTAGCCTCAACAAAAGCCATATTTTAGCAAATAGATATTTGCATGAGTGATACTTTTTGTATATTTCAAGCATCTTACTCATTATTCCAAACAGGGTTGGGACTTCCAAAGTGTATGCAGTTGAGGCCAGCAGTCCTTTGGGGTGACCATCAGCCTCCTTTGGAATCTGAGGGTACCCTGAGTCTTCTCACCTCCACATCTGCGTGCAATTCCTGTTACCTTGGAAAGATCCACTAGCATGGTTTCCAAAGCCATCTGGATGTCTAGGAGATTCAAGGAGGGGCCTTTGTGCTAGTTTTTTTCTCTTGGTATTACTGAATTTTCAAAGCTATTCAGAATCCTCATATTTGTGTTAATATTGATATGCACACAAATACACATACACGAGCACTTACAAATTCTTAACACACTCTCCTAAAGTCATGATATTCACGCACGTGTCCAATCCACCCATGCAGCCATTGAGCAAATCAAGGAGTGCACAGAACACTTAAAAACTAAAGATGAAGACACTTCCCTGTGTATTCAGCTTACAGCTAAGGCTTGGTCCATCCCCAGAATCGAAAATTACAGGAAACCGTCTTAGTCATTTAGGTTAAAATCGAGTGCTTGCATGCTCAGTCGCATCAGTCATGTCTGTCTGTTTGCGACCCTATGCACTGTAGCCTTCTAGGCTCCTCTGTCCATGGGATTCTTCAGGCAAGAATACAGGAGTGGGTTGCCATGCCCTCCTTAAGATATATTGGTATTGGAGACAGAAGCATGGGTGGTGGGGGGTGGTGTGGAGACAGCAAAGATTCACACACGTCCACATCCAATATCTGGATAATGATTACAACCCTCCATTTATTTTAACCATGTAGACACCTGAATGTCACAAAGGCCAGCTTTGCAAACTAGCAAACAGTCTGTCTTTCCAACCTAATAATCCTCCCCATCGTTATATTTCTTGGCTCTCCGTCCTTAAGATAAATGACAAAGGGACTTAATGTCAGAGATTTGGGGTGATGTGAGGCAATTCTGAAATCTAGAGGTTTGGGACGCTGGATGGAGTGGAAATTTTTGATGATCTCATGTAGTATCACTTTGCACTCTGTCTATATGACTTGCTCTTTCTGTAATGGATGGAATAAAATAAATTGATGGAAATTCTTGCTCCAAAAGATTAATTTAGAAACAGAAAAGCTTTCAGTTTACGAGAGAACCTTTGTGCTGCTCCTGGAAGCTGCCGTATTCCTAAGCTTTAAGGCTATTGTTGGAAAGAGTAGTCAGACCCACTTCTGCGTGTACATGTGGCTCCTGTTAATCTCCTGACATAGCAGTTGTTGGACTTCTTCAGTGAGCTGTTGGTTTTGAACTTCAAGCTCCCAAATATCGCCCACCAGGGAGAAGGAAAAGGCATTCTTTTTTTTAACCTGGAGGAAATCTATCATGATCTACCTAATCCTTTTAGAAACACATCAGGAGAGGGAAACCAGTAATTCCTAAAGGGGAATACTGTAGGGATCCTAAAGAGGAGACAGAGTATAGAGTAATAGTTCCATCCAGAATCATTCCCTAGCCCTCTTCCTTAAAATGAACTTTCGGGGATAGAATTTGATGGAAAAAACACCACCTCTTCCCACCCCACAACATGTCAAAGAGGCTAGAGGATTATTACCTTTGTCAACATAAACATCTTTAATAGCTTTATGTGTTTGTTCTTATGCAGAGAAACTATTAAGTAGAATAACATTTTATACTATTTTATGACTTAAAACATCCTTTATTTCTTTATTATTCTCTTAATACCCTGGGATGTTGGTAGGTGAAATCATGAGGAAAACTGAGGCTCAGAAATGTTAAAAAAAAAAAAAAAAAAAAAAACTGTCCTCAGGCTATTCATCTGGTGAATTGCAGAGGTAATATATTTTTCCAGGTTTTCTAATTGTATTCCTCCCCTTCCCCTGAGCCGAGCACAAACAACTCTTTCCTTCTCAGCCCTTCATCACCGGGACAGTACAAGTTCCATGCAAAACCAAGTCTCTACTTGAAAGAATATGAGCCCCTCTGGCTCAGCACAAGTGACTCTGGAGCCCAATTTGCTTGGCTGAGTAACTCTATGCTTTTTCCCTAAAAGTCATTTTCCAAGGAAATGAAGTGTAGCCAGGAAGATGAATTCACAACTTCAATACGTTGGTGGCATCCTGCGGTGCAACAGGGAAGGGCTTTGCTGTCAAAGCGCTGTCCCCTCCACTTAGTGACATTGTGAATTTGGACAGCTTCCTCCTCCAAGATTATTTCCTGATCTCTAACATGGGAATTCAAATGATTTTACAAAGCCGTAGCATAGTGAGAATTACATTTGAACACTTGGAGGAAGCTAGAAAACGTCTAGCACATGATGAGTACTCAGTGCTGCCTTCCATTTGCTCCTTCCCCTCCAAGATAATTTGGAAACTAAACTTTTCAGTCCCAAATGACATAGTCTATATGGCACAAACTGATCAATTTATTTTATCATTTCTCCAATCTAGCACCAGTAGCCAAATCCGTTTTTAATAACAACGGTATGTTGAGCAGCATTATTATTTAAAAAGATAGAAAATTGTCACTCCAATAAGTTCTTTTATTTATTTGCCTCTGGTGTAGCCACACTGCTTCCAGTAAAGTCTCTAATTTTTAATGACATTGCATTAATGTCTCATAATTTCATGGAAATTTACTGAAACATAACTCTTGGTAGAGTTTCATAATACTGTCTTCAAATTTCATTGCAAACAGTTGATAAATACAAAAGGATCCTGTTGATATATTACCCACACATACCCATTTGCCTTAGTTTGCACCCAGGATGTTCAGATGAAACCATTAAATTGCATCCTGGATGTCCATTTCCTTAAAAAAAAACTGTAACCTAGGCAAAGATCTGCAGTGACAAAATTAGAGGAGCCAGCTCCCAGATGAAGTCATGTACATATAAGAAGCCACATTATTTATGGATGGTTCTCACTCACTTCCATTATCTCTCCCATAATTCTTCATGCTCTAGTCACTCTTTATGCATATACTATAGGATACTTTTTTTTTTCCTCTTCCTGAGTATGAAGCCATGAATAATTTATAGACTTAAGCTTTTGGATTTCACCCTTCAAATTTGCATCCTACATCAAGGATGGTGGGTGACTTGCTATCACTACACCCATGATCAGATCTGTGGTATAGTTAATATAGTTCTACTGTTAAAGGCAAGAAAGTCTAAAATCATTGCCCATATAAAATCCTTCATTTAAATTAAAATGTATTCTATTGAAAATAATCCTGACTCCCTATGAAAAAAACACATGAGGAAGTTTTCTTATAGTTTTAAGGAAATAATCTAGATGTAAGCTTTGTATCCTGTTCGTTATTAGCAATCATCAGGAATTAAGCAAACACTTGTTTTCGATTCCGTGATTTTCCTCAGGTGATTCCTCCTTGCCTGACCTTGAGCCCTTCTCTTGAGGTGAGGTGCTTAGAGTGCTTCCCCAGGGTTGGGGGCCAGGGTTGTTTTCTAGAGCCTCTCCAGTTTCCCACATTCGAACCCAAAGTGAACTTTTCGTCTTCTTCAGAGAATGAGTCTTCTTGGGTGTGTACTTTAGCAGCTAACAAGGTAACAAAACAGGCAATTTCCCCCTTGGGTCCTAGATTCTCTGCCATGAAGAATCGGGAAGAGAGGAAATGCTACAGGTGAAAGCCATTTGTTCTGAGCTCCTCAATTCCCAGTACCCAGGTTCCTGCTAATTATAAGATGACTCCGCCCTCATGTGAGAAGCTTCCTGCAAAGATCCCATCCTCCCTTCTGAAAAACCTTTTTTTGGTTTGTTTTCAAAACAAAGACCTCACTTAATAGCTGCTTAGTTCCTAGACCGTCTCTGACTCCAAATTCTGAAGTCATAAGGCTATGCGTCTTCATACTTTGATCAAAAATTTAGTCAAAAATTATGGAGTTTAGGATTTAAAGTCATTTTATCAAATTAGGAAAACTTTCTTGATTTGTTGTAGGCAACTCAAAAAATTTTAGGACAGAGTCAGAGGACATCCCATTAGCTTGACCCAAAACTCTTTCACGACGTGATGCAAGGCTGACTCCCCTCCATGTTAGGAGTTATGGCTCTGTTTGTCTGAGGAGTTAGATCTCTAGCCAGGATTGTGAGAGGAAGAACCTGGGGTCCTTCCCATCAAGCTATTAATGCATGAGACTTAGGGTTGCACTCAGGGTTAA